AAAAAAAAAAAGGCAGTTCTCTCCTGACCATCCCCAACCCTCTGTATCTCCTTACCTTACTCTTTCTTTGTAATTTCATAACCCATAATCAATTGTCTATTGTTTAAAATCTCTGATTTTTAGATAGTTTTCTCTGAATGTCCCTTTTTTGTACTTACAATTACAACCATGTGACCGATGTTAATCATGTTCCTCTCCTGATCTTTGGTCAGTGACTGTGTTGTTGCCGAGCTTAATAAGGACATCGATGAAATGTACAACCAGTTACAATGAAAAACTTACTTGAGTTAGGGTATTTTGTACCCAGTTTGCAACCACAGTCTTAAATTGAAAAGCGGTTTTCCTCTTTAAATACCCCATTCCCAGAATACCTGAGTGTATTCTAGTCACGGTGCTCTCTCCATCATTACACAGATACGTCACCGTATGACACAGCACGTAAATGATCATTAGTTGCAGTGCTTTGACATTACTCCTCCTTTGATTAGAAATGAAATTACTCAATTCACTTTCTATTTTATTCCTTAATGTTGCCTCCAAAATTCAAAATTATTCCCTTAACATATTCATCACCAATCAAGAAAGTTTTGCTACTGAGAATGTCCAAATAAGCTCCAGAAATATTTCAAAACAACTTTCTAAAATGAAGTAGATAATACCAGCACTTTGCATGTATTTTTTCTTATGTCATCTCTGGTAATAGGAGAAAGAGGGGAAAAAAATGGTTTTCAGCCTCTAGTTTCATGACCAAAACAATTACCCTAAGGAACACTATTATAAATTTTTCAATCATTATGTTGATTAGTATTAGAATTGCATTTATATCTGAAGACTTGAAACTGATTGCAAAGCAGTAAATATATTCTCAGTCAGTTTTACTATAATTAAATATTTAACATCAACTTTGAGAAATTCAGCAAAGGCAAGTCCTATTAAAAGACATTTTAGGTCAAACAGCAGAAATGATAACCTCCTGGGTCTGAGTATCTTGCTGATTATTCCAATTCTTATTATAAGCCCAGATGATATAAGCCAATAACAATGCTGATGGTGCATCCAACTTGTGCTTCTTTCTTGGGTTATTCTGCTCATTGGAGCTGCTAATATAGCTTTCTTCATGCAGGCTGAAGGACCTCACGGGCTTACTTATTCGAAAGGGAAAAGAACAGGACATGATTTATTTTTTGCTTTAAAAAAAAAATTATAAATTTCCATTCATTTCAATGAAATAGCCTAGGCTGCTTGCTGAGTCGGGTGGGGCAGCCCATTTGGAACCCGTAGGGACAGCGGGCAAAGCTGTATTGCCAGGAAGTTCTGAACTCCCAGTATGGACACTGAAGGTCATCCTTCTCCTTTCATCACAAAACCTCTGACTTTACCCTTGTGATCTTTGCCTCAGATTTTACTACTGAAAGTTGCCTGAGAAATCCAATGTGTGGAATGCAAATAGAAACCAACATGAAACTTCTTTGTCTGGAAACGTGTCCATTCGCCTATTTTGCACTTGCCAGTAACCTCAGGTTTTCTCCCTGTAGTCACTCAGAATTCCATGCAACTGGTCAAGCCTGAAAAGTTACCATAAACAATATATAGCCCTTCAGAAATATAATTGTGGTAACATGCAAAACATGTAGCATTTGGTTTCCAAGTAAAAACTGAGGAAAATGTTAAAAATAAAATTGTAATTCCTTTACTCGGGGGAAATTTAGGAAATGCAACATGCTGTTCTCATAATGAAATGGAGCAAAAAATCTCATTTCCTTGAACACAATGACCGAACAATTAGTGTATTTGTGCAGTTCCCCCCTTTTGTTACTAATTGGAGAGAAGCTCACCCACCCGGGAAGTGGCCGTCTTTCCCTCTCACAAAATCTCCGTCGCTACAAACCTACACTGGGCTCTGTCCATGCATGATGGATAGACCAGAGCATGGTTCCCCAGCATAGACATTCTCTCTGTCACCACTGAATGAAAACTCAGTGATTCACAGAAAACGTGAAGAATAAATACTCCCGCAACGATATTTTCTGTAAATTGCCTCACTTGTGATGTTCCCAATAACTCTGCCATAAATCTCTACTATGATAAATGACTTCTCCTTTGCATACATTTTGATCCCATTTTTCATATTAATATTAAATGTGATACAGTGCTATCATTCAATATTAGAAGACAATATGAAGTTGTAATGATATATTTTTCTTTCCCTCCAACATTTATCCTTCCTGACCTCTGTGTTATGTTTTCTGAGTGAGGTGAAATGTCGTAAATGTATGATGTTGCCTACATTATATGCTGCTTTAAAAAAATCTATAACATTTATTCTGGCTTCATATATCACTTGGATGAGCAGGCAATTGTAGCTCTGGCAGTAATAGGCAATAACTCTCATGTGAATTTTAATGATGGATTCTGGACATATAAACGAAAGAGAATTACCTCCGTTTATTGAAGATGCAATTTCACAAAAGATAGTCCCATTCTTCATCCCGTGGATGTGTATTTCCTTCTCATAAATACACATAGTTCCACACACTGTGAATGCTGATCTGCTTCTGATCTACACAAGTTTGGGCACGCCACGCCCTGCTGGGATGTGACTGTGGTGGGGACAGTGCCAGGCTGGGCGCCGAGCCTGGCATCTAATCCCTGCGAGACAGCAGCCAGCTGTTGTGCTTCTGGCAAGTGGCAGCTTTCAAATGTTTCAGGGCCCTCCAAGGTCCCATCAAGACTTTGGGTCCGTATGGCCAAATATCAAAGAGAGACATTACACTGCCAGGTCATGTATATTTATTATTGCACACACGCATGTTAAATGAGTGTGTGGGATAAAGAATATGTCTGTGGACAATGTTTACCGTTCTCTGCATGTCTGATTAGTCTTTTTTCTTTTTATATTCCTTAGTGGCACTCAGCCTGTTTTACTTATTTTTAACTTTCCTTCATGTTTCAGAGATCACCTACCCACGCTCCATGGAACCCTTGTCAGGATGCCTGGAGGAACATCTAGTCACTTATCTGATAGCCATTAAAAGGTACAGAACTGAAGGGCTATGTTTTCACCAAATGATCCGATGATATTTCAGGACAAGTGTACGCTTTAGGTTTGGAGATAAAGTCTTACTTTAAAAAATGGTTGCAAAATTTTCAATTTTATTAGACTTCCACTTAAAGGTATTTTCCTTCCAGTCACACACACACTCTCTCACTCACACATACACACACACTTTATGCCTTCTTTATCTGGATGATCTCAAATTAGATCTGACAACCCTCTAACTCTTGCTTGGCTCAGAGACTGAAACTTTCAGAGGACCTAATTGCTTACCTCATTTCTTGGTAAGTGAGAGGGTTGCTATGTATGTGTGTGTCAGCACTGACATTCAACCCACATAATTTTATTAAACAAGGAATATCATATAGTGAGCAATTATGCAAATGTACGAAGAAACTCTTAGGACCATTAACATATGTTCCTAAATTGCTTTGTAGCTGGAGGAATTAATTTTAACACAATGGACTGATTCACTAGATGGACTGATTGGGTAAGATGATGAGCTAACATTTGATAAGAACCATGGATGGCACTTTGTTCTAAAGTTGACCAAAGGGCCTGCCTGCTTCATTTTTAACACCCTCTTTGAAAAGAGGAGCAATTCTCTTAGAAAAAGACTAGGAGACCATTACTTCCAATCAAGAAATAGGAAAATCTGTATTTCTATCATTATTGGTAAAAAGTACATTTAATTTTATATAGTGCGGTCTGAGTTAGAAATCTCAATACCAGGCATACTTGTTTGCCATCGGGATACCATTAATAG